CTGCCATGTGTACCGTGTACCGTGCGAGATTGAGGATGATCCTCGGCTCACAAAGCAGATTTTGGTGCAGCTGCATATAGCTAGTCACTGCCGACATAGCGTGACGAAGGATGTATGTCTCAAACTGAGCTTGGTGTGACTGAGAGCCTGGCGGCACCTTCAAGAAAAGGCCAAATCCGGGGAAATCCTTCCTGTGAAATATCTGGTCAAGGAACACGGCGGTGATCGTTGCTAAAACAACCTCCGGTAGCGGGTTCTTAGTTTGCGGAGATATTCTGGCTGATACATGCGTCGATATGGCATACTTTATCCGTGCAGTTGAAGGTGCATAATTAGCTTCTTGCGACGAAACCAGAATGAAAGACGAGCCGCGGCGCAGGGGCGCCGGCTTTCGGGATGCTTGGTTTGGTTCGCGTTCTACTGCTCTTATTCGTACAAGGGAGGGCCGATCATCGATAGAGTCCGATTGTGGTGGATTGATGATGTCTTGCCCTTCGAACGATGATGCCGGACCTCTTGAGTGGAGCTCCGTTGTTGCATTTGTAGGATCAGAAGCTACAGTGACGGGAAACAGGACGAACAGAAGCTCCTGAACATAGCTAGACGACACTGCAAAGTCGCGAAACTCTTGCGATCGTAAGTGCAGATTGGTGAACACTTCAAGGACAGTGTGCAATATCCCGGCATACTCGGCCATCTGCTCCTTTGGAAGCGGTTGAAATCCTGCTATATGTGAGCACGTGAAGGTTGTAGAGGCCAAGGCATTCCTACCTGGTGTTAGTCGCTCGATGTTTAGTGACACCGAGCGTAGTCTGCGATGTCTCAATGACGGGTTATCTGAATGCGCTGGCTGGACATTATCTGTACTTCTAGGAACCGTCATGTTCCTCGGCTCTGCTTGATGCCTTACAACGACCCTTAGCCCAGTTTCAAGCATGGCCATGATTGTAGAAACAATCTCCGGGTTTGCCACGCTGATTCTTCCCTCTCCAAACAACGAGGCCATCAGGTTCGGCAAATCGAAATCACGCTCGACATCGATGGTCGCAACGTCAACGCCTGTCAGTACCGCAAAGCATAACGTCCAGATGGCTGGAATGCTCCACCACGTCTTGAGGCGTTGCTTCATGACGATGAATCCGCCGGTTTTCTCGGCAAACTTCTTAACATAGCTGCCGCCGAGGACCACAAGGAGACGAGCGAGGATCTTGGTACCCAAGACAACAACACGCGGTTCATTTTCAGCAAGCAGGTACAGCAACCACTGACCCCTAGTTAGCATCATCATCATCAGGAATGCATTAGACGACTCACTTTGTTGGTTACTGCCTTGGCAAATTTCCTCAAGTTATTGGTGCTACTACTCTCACAAAGGAGGTCCGTATACATGCCGAGAACCTTGATTCCAAGCTCCTCCCGAGAGTCCTGGGATATCCCATTATATTGGATAGGGCTTTCTGGCCGTGGGGAAAGTAATACAGGGCTGAGTTGAGGAGGTGTCGGCCTGTTGCCCATACGAAGGGTACTGCTCTTCGGGCGTAATGTCCGTCTACCGAAGGCACGGCTATCATGTAGAGCGTACGTGATGAAGAGCGCAAGTGAGCGGAGAATGTCCCCTGAAACGTTACATTCAACAAGGACCTTAAAAGCTTCCAGGAAGTTAGATAGGACATCCGGTGCGAATGACTCGCCCTTCAAAGCGTCCAAAAATCGCTTCACAACACCTGTAGAACTGATCAGCTTCATATTGCCCTGGTGAGGAGGAACCGAAGGCAAGCCTTACGCATTCTTGTCAGTCTCCTTGAATTGAACAGATGGTGCTTGCTACCCTTGGCGAAGCTGACAAATTGGCTGTAGTATAACTTTTGAGTATCGGCGGATGTTCTCCTCCACATGTCAAAGTCAACAAGAAGAACACGATATGCAAGCGGATTGATGATGGTGGACTCTTCCGGCCTTGCCTCACAGTATCCGACAAAGCGTAGGATGTTTCTCAACAGCTCGTGGGCCAGTGCATCGCGCTCCGCATCGTCCATCTGGGGCTGGTCCGATCTCAGAATCGGCTTGTTGCTAAACATGGACCCGAGTCCCATCTTTTCACTAAGCAGACTAGCGAGAACCGCATAACCAGTCTCTTTCTCCATTGCCTCGCTGTTCCTCCAACTACCCTCAACGGACTGGAAGAGCAGATTCACCGCTCGGAGGATCGCATCTTTGCCTTGAGCGACCTCGACCAGCTTCAAGCCGACAGCCGCACATCCTGCTATACGCCAAGATGCATCATCGAGTGATTGGGGCACGGCAACAACAGGATCGCCAAGGAGCAGGGCAACGCCACGACTATGTGTTAGCGCATCGTTGATTGAGGGTACGGCACCGTTGATGACTATCGGGGAAGCTTTTGTGAGATGTTGTAGGTTCTTCGCGGCTGCTTTTGATAGTGATTTGATCAGCTGCGACTCGTCGATGTTGTCCCGGTCGTCATCGTCCATGACCATGCTCGGGGATATGCTAAGAAGTATCCGGTTTTCTGGTAGTACGAAGCCAGCTTTGGAATGAATAGCAGAGATAATCTCCGACTTCTCCTCCTTTCCGGGATGCAGAGATTCGTTGAGGATGTTGAGTTGAGCGGAGTCACGGTACGTCTGGAACGACCCAAGACAGTCCTGGAAGTTCCCATAGTACCGTGGCCCCAGCTTCTGGTGGACAGCAATCACCTCATCAGACAAGGCGTCCTGGAATAAGTGAAAAGAAGCGAGCGACAGCTTCGAGGAAACCACGTTTCTTCCGATCCGAGGTGCAAGATCCTGGGGCGTACCAAGGAACGCCTGAACTGGGGGATACTTGTAGTCAGGAGACGAGAGAGAAGCAAAACTTTCAGTGCTGCTGTTCGGAATGGGCGGGCTAGCAGGATACTGGCACTTCAGCTGCTCAGTAAACTCCCCATTGACGAAGAGGGTTGCACGACTGGAGCTGGTGGCTTTCGGACGTCGATGGACTACAGCGATATGGTACCAGATGCCCGCTTTGAAGACGGTTGACTTGAAGCGGACGCTTGGCCGTTGGGCTGTTATAGACGTCTGAAGGATGAAGTGATGACTATCTCTCTCCAAATAGGCCAGCACGAAGCAGCTTTGAGTGGCATCACATGCTCCGAAGATGGTTGTGTGGCAAGTCGGATCGAACTGATCAATGCGGATCCAAGCGGTCATGGTGTATCCTGCACTGGAAGAACTCGGCGGGAACGGCCGTCCAAGATCTCGAAGCTCAATGGAACTGTGCCCATGTAGCGACAGGTCGAATTGTATAAACGGTGGTTGTCGCGATGTTTGAATGCTCTTGAGCAAGAATTCCGCAGCGGCTCCCGACGTACTGGCTTTTTTGAATAAATAGTAGCCGTCTTCAAGTTTGTTGACTCCATACGCAGCGAGTATGTCCGCAATGCCATGAAGGACAGTTTTCTCGCTGCTGGGTAACTCTTGATCGAAAACAACCGGTAGTATGCTGCTCAGAATGCCTGTTCTGTGAATCATAACCTGATTGTAGGTCGAATGGGAGAGCACTTGCTCGACCGCAACGAGTATAGCTAGGCGCAGCCGACTCGGTGCTGACCTTGACTCAGGACTTACAGCCAGGGTCTGCCAGAAGTTGAAGATCATTGGAATCGTCTCAGGATTCTGCACGACCTCAGTGCCTGAAAGGAACATTCGCAGCTGGGAGCGAATCGCGGCTAGTGGTTCAGCAATGGCATCATTCTCCTCTGACAGGCTACTGTTACTCTTGGTAACCTCGTTTCTTGGAGGTATGTTCTCACGTTTGCTGTCTAGATTCGAGCTCTCGACACTCTGCCGTATTCTACTGAAGCTGCGGAATATCCGTGATATAACCTCCTCACCGAGCGCATGAGCGAGCAGGCAGCTGAAAAACTGCTCTCGGCTGGCCTCATATTCATCTTCTCCGGAGTGGTTGGTGCCATTGACACCGGTATTGGCCAAACTCTTTTCCAGAGCCAGCCAGCCATTGCCGCCCACTCTTCGCGCAAAGTATCTCCGATTCCCAGGTTGATTGTGCAGCGCTTCTGAAAGTACATCAAGCGTAGCCTTCAATAGCTCGAAGAACCCCTTTTCCTCGTCCTTGGTCAGAGTCGTGGGGCTGTAGTAGCCTGAGAGGGACGCAAGTACAGCCAGTAAAGCTTGGAAACCGTGGAGACGTCGGAACGCGTCTTTGGCGTGCGATCGGTTCTCGAAGTTGACTAGACATTGCCGTATCCTGTGAAGACTGTCACAAAGTGACTGTAGCTCATCTATGGTCGGGCGCTTGTCGGTGGTAATGTGTATATGTGTAGACGTGAGCTTGGCTAGGCACTCGCGAAGCTCCGAATGGGCGGCTTCATCTATTGGAGAGCCGTTGGAGGCAGTGGTTGTCGACCGCTGGCGGCGAGCCTTGTTGTCCATGGCGAAGAGCTATCCCAGAGGATGCTACTTGGGAGTAATGCAGATGTGAGCCGTTCATGTCTCGTGAGAGATCCGTTAGCTCGGCAAATAAGGCAAAAAGCTGCTGCACTCGACAAACTTCATGCGGACCCCGTGAGGAAGAAAGATTGCAGGGAGGAACGCGGTCATGGAGCGTCGTATACAAGCGCTGGTCTGCGAGGGAGGGCAGATGTTTTTGGAAGAGCGGAGCTAGTGAATGGAGCGCAGCTATTGCATGTCATGCGGGAGACAACAAGGAACCCGTTCGGAGCAGCAGGTATACAGTAGGAGAGTCCGCGGCATCTACAGACCGTGTTGACAGCCTGGTCAGCAGCTCGAAGCAGCTCTCGTGTCTCGGTGTCTGGATCCCTGCATCTGATATTCGCTTAGCACCCAATGACGGGCGCTCAAGTCCACCTGCATCCAGCGATGCCAGATAAAAAACAACCTGTTAAAAATGCATTGCTGTCATCTGCAAAACAATATAATAATAGATCATGTATGCCAGAATGCAAAAAGTCAAGTTGCTGCGCCGTCCGGGAATCGAACCCGGTCCTCATGCTTGCACGTTGCCTTAAAGGGACAGTTTTATAGTGGAAGGCAGGAATCCTACCAATGGACCAACGGCGCCTATTTGAAAGAAGGATTTTGGTTGTGTAATACATATTTTCGTTGTCAAAAGCTGGTAATCCTTTACCCTCTATATCACGTTCTTTGAGGTCGGATCGACTAATGTTGAAGGTCAAAGTAGCTTTGACAGGCAATTGATTGCAAACACTCATTCTGGCGCTTTTCTGGCCTTTACCACAGCCATATGATTAAATTTATGTTTAAAGTTGCTGTTGTTCTTCCTCAGATTCTATCTAATATATAGCTAACACTGGTTTTAAGAGAAGCTTGGACGATCGCAGAAAGAAGTGATTAAGAACCTTGAATTATGTGATCTTTCACTACGCAAAATCTCCACGAAAGCTATGCGTTTCTGTGTGGATCGTTTGGACGCAGGTGAACATTATGACCCTACTGTTGACTCTTAAAGATATCAACTTTATCACTCTTGTTGTTGACGTACAATCGTGAGTTGACTGGCTGGTTACCGTTCGCTTAAACATTAGTCGATCCGACCTCGTCTACCCTTAAATAAAGCAGCAGAAACAGCTCGTCCGACCAGGCTATAGAGGGGAGTTGGTTCGGTGTTTATGCTAGCTGTATTGCGCACCTTAGGCTTTACTTGAGGTTATAGTGACATCTTAGCTGAGCTGGAAACCGGCCAATTTTCTTCATCATCACAAACTATAACTGAAACCAATATTTCAATAGGCGCCATCAGTCCATTGGTAGGATTCCTGCCTTCCACTATAAAACTGTTTCTTTAAGGCAATGTGCAAGCAGATCCGAAAAGCGCTTCGCGCTTTTCGGGTTACTGGTTACGGATAGAAAGCCATCTAAATGACACGGGATAGCGAAGCAGGCGAATCTCAGACTATCAATGCAACTTCCATCCCATACGCTCTCCCCCCACACGTACTGCATTCGTGAAACCCGGGGCTCCCGTCTATCGTTCGTCATAGCAATCTCACAGCTTCTCTCCCTGTCCCTCCACCGGCACCTCAACGATCTGATCAATCCCCTCATACGGGGGCATATCGAGCCCATACTTCTCTGCCATCTTCTTGCTCAGAAATCTGCGCTTTCACCATCAGCAGCAGCCCTTTCCACATCCAAAATATCAAACTGGAACAGAATGCAAGACTCACCGCCCCCCAACAAAATGCCTCCCCTTGAACCACTTCACCAGCGGCTTCGGTGCCGTAAGGCTGATCAGCGCGTCAGGCATGAAGCCCTTACCGGGCCCAGAGTCTGGGGGCCCGTCCTCGATGTTCCAGGAGCTGGGCGCGTCGACGGCCAGGACGGGCTTGGTGGTGTCGCGGAGGGCGCTTATGACGGCGGGGAAGGGCTCGCGGACTTCGCCGGAGAAAGAGAAGCCTGGTTGGAGGTTAGTTGGGCGGGTAGTGGCGAAAGGGCGAGGGGCACGGGGAGATGGGTGGGTTGGGGTAGCAGATGGAAAAGGGGGCGATTAGGTACCGAAGATGGAGTCGACGATCAGGTCGGTCTGGTCGATGGCGGAGGTAAAATCTTCTGTGAAGGGGATGTCGAGGTCTTTCAGCTGCTGAGAGAGGCGCTATCGTCGTTGTAAGCTGCGATGTGTCGGAACCTTCATAGTAGACGACTATACTTCGTAGAGCTCGTTCTTGGTATGCTTCGGGTAGTACATAGTTGGCTCGTAGCCATAGTGCCACAGATGGCGGCCTGCGACGAGGCCATCTCCGCCTAGAAGGATGTGAGCCGCTGTTTGAACACCTTGAAGATGATTCTGGTTTGAGATTACCGTTGTTGCCGGGTCCGCAAGCGATCAAGACCCGCTTGCCTTTACTCGGCGGTTGGATTTTGTAGACTGGGCAGACATATGAGATGCTGTAGTCTTATATGAAGACGATATAGTTGGAGGGATACCGGCTTGGGATACCGAGAGGCCTGCCAATTCCATCAATTGGTCGATGGAGAAAGCACCCGTGCTCATCAACTCTTTATCGAGCTCCGCGGCATTCTTCGAGTCGAGAGTCTAAAGACAGGTTCAGTTACTTGTAAAAGTACAGACTGGCAGAGCATACTCTTAGAGCCATCATGAATCGTCTCGTTGCACGGAACATGTGTCAATTGATGTCAACCGAAGGCGACCAGGTGAGATGGTGGACGATTACATCACACTACAGCGTCGACAGTTGACGAAGCGTACGGACTATCGGAGCTGAGATGGATGATTCTCTGAACAATTCGTACTTGGTCTGTCAGCTGCCAATACCTAAGCTCATAGTTCCAGTTAATTGCGAGGGTCCTGTTGTCGAGGTAGTCAAATGCTGCTATAAAGTTACTGGATCGATACCAGCCCTACAGCCCTACAGCGGACCCTTTCCGCTCCACCCGCATCCAGGCATCCCGCCGCCAAAACCTCTAGGGCCGCATCTCCATCGCCGCAAATCATCCTCGACCGCAACACCACCGCCATTGCAGACGTCCCTCTCCCTCAGCAATGGTCGTGCGCATCCGGCTCGCCCGCTTCGGCAAGCGCAACGCGCCCTTCTACAACATCGTCGTCGCGCACGCCCGGTACGGTCCATCCCCCATCTGCGCCGTAACCCAGCCAGCCGCATCCGCAACCTTTCTCCCTGCTCAGACAACCCCTTCCACTTCGAGAAAGCCCGTACGCTGACAACCTTACCCTCGACGCATAGAACAGCACGCAACTCGAAACCCCTCGAAGTCCTCGGAACCTACGACCCGATACCGAAGCCTCCGCGCCCGGGCGACGAGGGAGGCAGGCCGTGGAAGGATATCAAGCTGGACACGTCGAGGGCGAAGTATTGGTTGGGTGTTGGGGCGCAGCCGAGTGATCCTGCTTGGAGGCTCTTGAGTATGGTAGGTGATTTTCCGCTGGGTTGGATATGATCAGGAGTGGAGGCTGGAAGGAGATTTGAGGGTGTGAAAAGAGGGAGTGGGTGAAGCAGGAGAGATAAAACGGCCATGAGAGAGGAGGATTGACACACAAGCACACTCTACAAAAGACAAAAATGCTAGACCCACATGCTAACATTTGGAACACAGGCAGGACTACTCGAACCGCGATATAGAGTCGCACAGATACAGGAGGAGAAGGCGAAGCTAGAGCCTTCCGCTGCTGCAGAGACCTCCGCTGCTGCAGCAAAAGCGTAGCTCTAGGTGTTGGTTTGCGGCTATGCACTGGCGTTCAAGGGGGAAATGTTGCATCTGTTGCATTTTAGGAGTTTGCAGTCTGTTCCATTACATGTCCAAAGTAACTGTATATGTATCATCTATGTACAAGGTCTCGTCAGGAGCTCCTAGGCGGCATGGGCCATCCATCCACCCGTTTCTAGACCGTTCATGTACACCGTTTCTAAAGAAAGTCTAACCCAAACGCCAGCTCGCTTCAACGCTCAGACCTAATGCGCCGCAACCAAAAACGTGTTCGTACCCAGACAAACAACCATGACTATCATCCCATATATAGCAAGTGCCATGCTTAATCTCCTTAACAACTTCAATCTCCAGTTCCTTGAATTGAACTTCGACCCAGGACTGCCCGTGATGGTCGAGTCGTCGTTCTCATCATCACCATACTCCTCCTCGTCGTCATCTTCCTTGAGAAGACGCTGATGATGCGGCGAGTCCGGTGAGGATATCTTGTAGTAGAACAAGCCGGGGAGGATGAAGCTGATCGTCGTGCTCCCAGTAGACCCGACGTATGCGAGGACCTTCTCTAGAGAGGAGACTGTCATAGCGACAATGAAGCTGGCAATGATGATGACGGTCGTGAGCATTGCGAAGCGGATGTCGCTCATCTGCACTGCTTGAGGTGCAGATCCGGGCTTCTTGGCGCCCAGTAAAGGAGCGCTGCGCGATGGCGAGGAGCTGCTGGTGCTTGACGGCGAAGAGCTGCGCCTCGGCCGCCACCTAAGGACCGCGTCGACGGAAGCGCGGCAGGGATGGACCTGAAGGGGGTAGGAGAACATGACTAGGATCACGATTGCGAAACGGCCTATGGTAGCGGCCGCAGAAGGTGGGTCTAACGTAGTTTTAGTACGAAGGTCTTTTACTGAGAGAGGGGGTGTCTGGGTAACGTACACATGTTCACGATATTGCCGCCAATGTTGTCACCGTAAGACAGGTACCCGGTTATCGCAACCAGGATGTAGAGCAGGCCGGAAATGCCAACACTGAAGACGACGACCGAAGCGGTGCGGAGGTGAGAGTTGTTGTTAATCTCGTTGAGTATGGAGAACATCTGAGCCATGTAAGCACTGTGCCCAACGCGGACAATACGATGAGAAGTTCGACGCACGTTCTGGTGGCAGGTATATGCAAACACAATGACGGGAAACGCGGCAAGAGTCTCCACGGGTCCGGCCCATTTAAACACCCGCACATCGCCGCGCTCCTCTAGGGTATCGCCCTTGAGGAAATGATAAAGAACGAGAATGACTAAGTAGCCGATGGAGATTAGAGCGATAACGCTCGTGTATTTGAGCGAGTCCAGTCGCCGTAAGAATGATAAGGGAATGACAATGAGCCTGCCCACCAGTGTCAGTTCGCTTTCGAAGAGCTAAAGCGAGCTCCCCATGCCAAGCATAACGTTCTCTATTTTAGCACATGGAGAAAACTCACATGAACGCCGTTATCCAAAACTGCCTATCTAGCAGAAATCCTGCGCTGACAGCTCCATTGCTGAATCCTCTTACTACTCCTGGCATCAAATCCCCAATGATGATCAAGTAGCTAACACCGACTCCGAAGCACTTCAACGCAATCGCCGCATCGAACACCACCGATGCGTTTGGGTATGTTATCTGCGACAGTGCTGCGAAAGATGCGCTGCCGCGGTCGAGGTATTTAGCGCAACGTGCTTGGAGGTAGAGACCGAAGCCTGCTGTAACGCCTGCCCAAGCGATGATGAAACAGCCGAGTACGATTCCCATCTGGCGCATGGCATGTGGCATGGCTAGCATGCCGGCGCCAATGACTGGAGTTCATGCTATATCAGTCGCGTGCTCTTA